GAAGACCAGCTCTGAGCTAACATCTATTGCCAATCCTCCTCCTTTTTTTTCCCCAAAGCCCAGTAGATAGTTGTATGTCATAGTTGCACATCCTTCTAGTCGCTGTATGTGGGACACAGCCTCGCTGAGGCCGGAGAAGCTGGGCGTAGGTGCGCGCCCCAGTCCGAACTCCGGCCGCCAGTAGCGGAGCATGCGCACTTAACCGCTAAGCCACCAGGCCAGCAGGGACACTCAATTTAGATAACAGTAAAGACATTTAAAAGCTACAACCCCCACAAGTGTAGGACAGAGGGCAACACATTTTTGTATAATGGAAAGCAGATGATGGACTTCCAGGTTAGATGGCAGACTGAACACACACATCTAATTTTACTCCCTCCCAAAACGCTACTAAAACAACGATAAAGAAAATGTTGTTGTTTTGTTCTGTTTTTAGGACAAACCATAAGGACAGAAAGAGTGGAAGAAGAGACAACAGCAACAAAATTTTGGAAGCTGGAAAGAAGATGGATGAGTGGTAACTGACTTAGTCAAAGACAGCCAAATTATAAACCAGCAGTGCGGACAACTAAGAACAGACCCAATTTACACTACAGAATCCTCAAAAGGCTCAGGAACTGCCAGAACAAAGAAGGGGAAGATGAGACTCAAGTGAGAAAGGATCAGGTGAAAGCTATTAGAAACCTAGACGCCACTGGTACTCTAAGCTGCTGAGTGGCCCACTCTCAGTGCAGCAGCTGACTGGAGATTTATTCTCTCAAGAGGGTAAACCATACATGGTGGAAGACACAGTATCCTAACAAAAAGAGGCAAATTGTGTGACCCTATATACCAAATGCTCTATGGCTCAATACCCAGCCCTCTTTTCCTGAGTTCCCAGATCACTGGCAACCAAACTTCTGCCCTCCAAGCAGAAAACTGGAAGATACTTTCTGGGACATCTGACCCGTCCAAAATGAAAGACAGAGACACTGGAGATGGCCTCAAACAGTCCGCCCAAACCAATGGTTTCAATCTTGGCCGCACACTGAAATCACCAGGGCAGCTTTAGAAAATACCGATTGGATATTTGGATAGAAAACAGAATTGTGGTTTCCTCTGGGCAGGGCGCAGGGAAGACAGAAGTAAGGGATTTTCTAGAGTTTTCACAGTGCTCTGTATCATGTGTTAATTACACAGGTGTATACACGGCAAAATCAGCAAACTATACACTTGAAAACTGTGTATTTTACTGTATGCAATCACACCTAAATTTTAAAAAAATACTGCTACCCGGGTCCTACCCCCAGAAATTCTGATGTATTTGGTCTAGCAGCAGCATGTACATATATTTTTAAAGCTCCCCATGTGGTTCTAATGTGCAGCCAAAGTTGAGGACCACTGTTTTAGACTCTAGATTATAGAGTAAAACTGGAAGTCAATAAGCCCCACCTACAATGTGCTCAGGGCTTCCAAACAGTTTTTAGTCACCCACTGCCAATCATGAACAAACAACCAAGATTACCAGACCTCTAAGGAGGGACTCTACTGCTGAGACTATACCAAACAGAAAAAAAGTAACTTGGAGGAAAGAAGGAACTATGCAAGGAAAAGAAAGTTTAAAGAACTATCTTGAACATTCTTCAATAAGAGAGGATAGAGCATCCATTAAACAAGAAAAGAGATGACAGAATAAGTAACTGAGTAGAGGAGAGGAAGCTAAACCTACAGGCCTGCACAAGGGAATATGGTCAAGAAGCTGATTCGCCTCACTCATAGAACCCCGGAAAGGCTCAGGACTTGGGAGTCTCCAGGTGTACTGTCAGTGGGGGAGAGGCATGGGGCTGAAAAGCAGGTTAGTGGTTTAAAGTCTGTATACAGACCCTCCCGTTTCCCTTCTCCATCCTCTCGTAAATTTATCCTCTGGAAACTTTTACCTGGAGAGACTCAAGAAGAGAAGAGTGGAGTGAAGCTCAAGGATGCAAGCCAAGGGATTAAGCAGAAGTATGTAGAGTGAATAGCAGCCCGCACCCACAGCCCACTTCCTTTGCCCAGCTTTCAGAACAATGGAAGCCAGGCATATTACCTTCCCCACAGTTTTGAGTTCAACACCCCTTTTCATGCAGCCAAACCAATTTTCATCACAGCACTTCTCCTAGTGGAGGATAAAGGTCTTTTCTTGAATTTCTACTATCTCCCCTAGACTCTAAGCTCCTTGAGGGCAGGGGCAGCATCTTAATCCACTTTGTATCCTTAGAGCCTAACACAGTGACTGTCAATATACTAAACACTTTATAAATCTTTAATTGGTCCTAGACACTGGAGATAACATGCAAAAAAAAAAACCTTGGAAAACTAGAACATAGAAGGTGTAATTTGGACTAGGTCCTGAATGAAGACTTAGAATTTACTGATGAAATGATATCTGCGGGCCGGCCCGAGGCTTAGCGGTTAAGTGCACGCGCTCGGGTTCGGATCCTGGGCGCGCACCGACGCACCGCTTCTTCAGCCATGCTGAGGCCTCGTCCCACATACAGCAACTAGAAGGATGTGCAGCTATGACATACAACTATCTACTGGGGCTTTGGGGTTGGGGAATAAATAAATAAAATTAAATTTAAAAAAAAGAAATGATATCTGGGATGTTTTAACATAAGCCCAGAGCCCCCTTTACTGTAAACTGTACACCTTAAATGTGAAAAGTAAAATCAAAATAAAATTTCTGTAGAGTAACACAGGAAAATATCTTCATATTCTAAGGCTAGGGATAGATTTCTTAAATAGTACAAAAAGCAGTAATCATAAAAGGAAAGATTAAGTATATTTCATTAAAATCAAGAATTTCCATTCATCAAAAAAGACCATTAAAAGAGTGAAAAGGCAAGATACAGAATGGAAAAAGATAAACTTTATACACATCTATCCCAGAAAGGCTCATATCTAGAATAAAGAATTACAAATCAATAAAAATTTTTTTTTAAATTTGGACACCTCACAAAAGAGGACATAAAAATGGCCAATATAAGATACTCAACTGCAATCATCAAGAAAATGCAAAATAAAACCACACTGATATATTACTGCACCTCTACCAGAATAGCAAAAATTTTAAAAACCGACAAGCATCAGCAAGGAAGTGGTGTAACCGGAATATCATTCCCTGCTAATTGGTACAACCACTTTGGGGAAATGTTCAACAGTATCTAATACTAAAGTTTTATTACTCACATACCTCTCAAACCAACAATTCCACGCCTAGGTATAAACCCTAACCTAGTAATGTTCTGTCTCTTCACCTGTGATGGTATACTTGGTAAAAATTCTTTACCTTCACCCTTAGGATTGTGCACTTTTTCTGCATATTACACTTCAATAAATTTTCTAAGATTTCTTTGAGACAAAGTTCTCAAAGACTTTAACCTATTTAGAATAGAAAAGGAGCTTCTGGTAAAGTGAAGTTTACCAATAAAATTAAAAAACAACCTAACACATACCAGCCCAGAACAAAGGTAAAAACTACCAACAGATAATTTTCTTGATCTTCATGAAGCACTGGGTTTCTTTCAGCAAAGAAAGGCGTTTATTATTCTAAACTGTAACCCAATGGAAAGATATTTGTGCAAGAAAATGCTGCTTTTCGAGATCACCTCTAACAGCAATAGATAGGAGGCAAGCGAAGGAACCATTCCAAAAGTTTTAGTTAACTCTTCGGTGAAAGGATGCCAACTGAGTTGATATAGGACGCCCAAAAGACAGACAGAAAGGAAGACACAAAGAAATCACAGCAACTCTAAAGCAAACACCAACACCACAATCCAACCTACCGGAAATTCTGTGGTTAATCTGAGGCTTGCCCCGCTAGTCATAAGGTGATTCGGTGATGGCTACAAACGCTCCCCAAGTGCGTCCTTGGGAGTCACCTAATACACCTGGCTTGCCCATCATCCGCCTGGAGACACCACATTGCGCAGAATCCCGGAGGCCAAATCAAGACGCCAACATTGCAAGTAAGAGGTGCCGCCAGTCTCGCCCCACCAGATCACCCAGACAAAACGAACTTCTGGCCTCGAGGGCGGGGGTGAAAGGAGAGTACCCCCTACAGGATTTACGAGGAAGCGCCCCCGAAGCTGCCCCGTCCCCCTACCTCCCTGGGACTCCACTGGCAGACCCACCGGCGAGTTTCTTCCGCAGCGCCCACGGAAGAAGGGTCCCGGGCCGCGGCGGCCGCAGGGAACTTAGGCCCCGGCAGCGCCCGGCGCGCCCGCCCCGCTAGCGCTGCAAGTTTGGTGGTGGCCCCCACTCGTCGCGCCGCGGCCCCGCCGTGCGCCCCGCGGAACCCGGGCTCGCGGCCCGCCCGGCCTGGCGCGGCGCCCCTCACCTTGGAAACGTTGGGTGGACTCCGCTGTAAACATTAACTTCCCATCCAGCCGGCAGCCGCGCCGCCGCGTCTCAGCGCCTCGGCCCCGCTCCCGGCTCCGCGGGCCGCCTTCCGCGTCCTCTCTCGAGCGCCGCGCTCACTCAGGAGCTCAGGGCCGCCCTACACCCTCACCCAGCCCTGCGGACGCTGCGGCTGTCTCAACTCCCACCCGACCCCCAGCCTGCCTGCACGCCAGCTCCCCCGGGGTCCGTCCCGGCCGCGTCAGGAGAGCCGAAAGCGCAGGCGCAGCAGGGCCTTAAAGAGACCGGGCCGCCTCTACCGCATAATGGATTTGAGCAGGTTAGGGGCCGGGCTGGCCGGCCGAGAAAAGGAGAAGCTGAAGGGATTGGACCGCGGGGAACCGGGGCGGGGAAATGCCGCTCCCTCCTCCGCCTCTCTTTCAAAGACCCGGCCCTCGGCCGTACTAATTGCTGACTTCCCCAATTTCTTGAACCGCCCCTTGCATGTAAGAGCTGCACAAGACACACCCCCTCGGCGGCCCAAGACGACCCCGCGTTGAAGGCTGCGAGCCGCGCACTGCCGGGCCGCCCACGCGCCTGTCTCCCAGGCCGCGGGCACGCGATGCAGACGCGCAGGCTTCGAAAGGCCGCCCGGGCTCCTCCGAGAGGTAACCTAGGTCACTCTCAAAAACAGTAATCAACGTGTAAATGACACTTGTGATTGCAAATCACTCCATCGTCACTGGTCTTGACACGCTGGTTTTATGCAGAGTCCTGCACAGGGCAGAACATGGGCACAAATATGTGAGGTCCAGCCGGGCAGCCATCCAGGATCAACGAAGAAATTCTTAGAAGGAAAGCACTTAGTTTGGGACAGAAACAGCCTACTAATTCTGGTCCAATCCCGGGAAAAACAGGCAAGAAAAATAATAAAGACGATATAAATTACTTACATTATACATTTAGAAGAGACAAAATGATAGTAATTATCAGCATCAAAAAACTCCAGAATTATTTGCCTGGAAATTAGATAGCCCTGGTTATTTTCTAATTTAAATTTATAAGATAGAATCTCCAGAAGTGGTTCCACTGTAATAAGCATTTCAGAAAAAACAACTCATTTTTTTTAACAAGATTAGGAAACACCAAAAAATAGGAAGTAGAGCCATGCCCTCCACCCTGCTATAAAACTTTGAAATCTTGACATTTTATCTGCTGCAAAATTTTGCATAACTTTAGGTCATGCCGTTATTTAAAGTCAATTTCAATTAACAATTTCATTGTAACTGAATCCATCTTATATAAGAAAGCTAAGAGACATCCTTGATAATTTACTTTTCTCTCCTGTGTTCCATCTATCAGCAAATCCTGTTGATTTTACCTCCCAAATTTTCCTTGAATCTGTTCTCCTCCATCACCACCCCAGTCCAAGCTACCTTTGCAGTAGGGAAGAGGGGGTTGTGGAAAAGGCTATTAACCTAGTCTTTTAGTTGGTGTACCCACATGCCCTCTAGCCTCTCTCTAATCACTTCTCCACACAAAAGGCTCTTGTGACCCTGTCACTTTCCAGTACAAACCATTTCAATAGCTTCCCATTCTCTTAAACCCCTTAAGTAACCAAGCCCTGCAGCGTCAGGCGCCTTGCCCACCTCTCCACATTCTCTCACTGCTCAGACCACGTTCTCTCCTGTTCTCTTTGCTCCAGCCTCACTGTTCTCTTCCAATCCCTCAAATCTTCCTGCCTCCGCAGAGCCTTTGCATATGCTTTGCTCTGCGCCTGGAAAGCTCTTCCAACCCTCCTCCTTCTGACTTCAGCTCTAGTCTCTACCTCTGAGAAGAACCTTCTGACCTCCCTACCTCCGTCCCCACCTATCACATCGCACTGAAACTGTAATTGTATTATTTTGGTGAATTTTTGTTTGCAGTAGACTATTAGATTCCTAAGGCCAGAAGTTTGGTTTTGTTTGGTTCATGGTTATATTTCCATATTTGTTCAATACATATTTGTTTAGTTAATGAATGAGAATCATAGAATGCTAGAACTTGAACTAGATGTGGCTTAAAGGTTACCTAAGTCGTAGAAAGGTAAAATGTCACGATGTGACATTTGGAATAAGCGTCTAAAAAGAACTCCGTTATTTTAAAACTGATTTTATATTGTTTTAGCTGGGTTCTCACAAGAGTCTTTGGGTAACCTTTAAAACTGAATTCTCAAAGCACCTTGTATAAACCCCAAAGTTAATAATGATAGCTATGGGATGGGTCCACATGAAACTAATAACATTGGTTGCTTCAAGGAAGGAAGATTGAGTGACTGGAGGACAAGGAAAGAGACTTTTGACTGCCTGCCCTTTTGTACCTTTTCAATTTCAAACCCTGTGAATGTATTACGTATTTGAAAATAAATAAATGACAAAAGAGTGCATACTGTGTGATTCTATTTATTTGAAATTCTAGATAAGGCAAAACTAATCTGTGATGAAAAAAATCATAAGTAGTGGCCTCTGGCAGAGGATTGACTGGGAAGGTACATGAGAGAAGTTTCTGAGTAATAACAATGGTCTCTGTCTTGATAGGGGTGTGAGTTACAGAGATGTCTTCATTTCATCAAAAATTATATAGTCAAGGGCCGGCCCTGTGGCTTAGCAGTTAAGTGCGCGCGCTCCGCCGCTGGCAGCCCGGTTCGACCTGGGGCGCGCCCCAACGCACCGCTTCTCCGGCCATGCTGAGGCCGCGTCCCACATACAGCAACTAGAAGGATGTGCAGCTATGACATACAACTATCTACTGGGGCTTTGGGGGGAAAAATAAATAAATAAATAAATTATAAAAATATATATATAGTTAACATTTCAATTAATGTAAATTTTACCTAAAAATATATAAAAATAAATTAAATTTTAAAAAATAGTAACAGCATTATTATTTTGAAAATAAGCTAACACATGGTTGAGCACTCACTGTGTTCAGGTATTGGCTAAGAGCTGTACATACATTATTTCTTGTAATCCTCATACTCGCCTCGTGAAGTAGGTATTATTATTATTTTTGTGTGTGTGAGGAAGCTCAGCACTGAGCTAACATCCATGCCAATCCTCCTCTTTTTATGGAGGAAGACTGGCCCTGAGCTAACATCTGCCCATCTTCCTCCCCTTCATGTGGGACGCTGCCACAGCATGGCCTGACAAGCGGTGCGTTGGTGTGCACCCGGGATCCGAACCCGGGCCACCAGCAGCAGAGTGCGCACACTTAACCAATACGCCACGGGGCCGGCCCTCAAGTAGGTATTATTATCATAACCCCCTTGCTTATGAGAAAACTGAGACTTAGTAAATACCAAGTAACTTGCCCCTATTTATACAGTTGGAAAATAGTGGAGCACGGCTTTGAACCCAGTCAGCCTAATGCCAGAAGTGGTTAAACTCTAGGCCTTATAGTACTTCTCTAAAATTGTAAATTTTTGGCTTATGCATATTATTTACCTACTAGATCAAGAGCTTCGCGATGATTGTAATCATATTTTGTCTTAGGCTTCTCAATAGCCCCGGCACTTTGCATAGTAGCTATTCAATGTATTTTGAACGAATGATAAAGAGTGATTTTATTAGTACAAATTATATACATATAATATATATTTATATATGTATTTTATATATAAATATATTATTTTTATATATATATATATATATATAATATAAATAATCACTACTGCTGTGCTAAGCGCCTGAGAT